AAACCGTCCGGAATGCATTTTTATTTTTCACTGTTTACATTGTCATGCAAAAATTTGCATAGATACAAATCTAGAAAATATTTAATTTTTCATCATTTTTGCCTAAACTACGTTAATACATTAATTTTATTGGAGCAGAATGATAAATGTACAATTTTTTTTTTTTCAGAAAATACACTGACCGGCAAAAAAACTTGCCACCCTGAAAACATACATAGCGCTGATTACGACCATCCTCGATCAGAACAACAATTTTATTAATTGTCAAACTTATAATCAAATGATAAAAAACACTGTTTACAACAACAGCCTCCTTTATTGTTTTAATTAAGGAAATATCGTACTTGGTCTGTTTGTGTTATTTTGTTAAATTAAATTTAATTCCGCGTTTATGTCTTCTTTTTTGCTAATTTTGACAACATGTGTCAATAGTGAATGGTTCTTTAATAAAATAACGATCACTAGTTAAATTAATAATTTTTAAAGTTGTTTTGCGAAATTTTTCAGGGTGGCTGGTTTTTTTGCCGGTCAGTGTAGGTTAAAATATCTGTCGTACAAATCAAATTGTCCCATATTTTTTTTTAAATTGTCGACAATTTGACTTGCACTCGGAGAATTATTAATTACTTATTATCGAAAATTGTTTTGGAGTTTTTTAAGTGAAATTGTTTTTGTTTAGTTTTTACCGTTTTTACACAGCAGGTTTGAACTTATCCATGGTCCATTAAAATCACAATGATTTTTTAAATGTATCTACAGAGATATCGTTACGGTTGACTGGTAAATTTTGCTAGATAGGTATACGGGTATCTATTCTTGAACCTGAACTAATAAATGTAATCTTATACTATTAAACGAGCAAAGTTTGTATACCTATATATACAGGGTATTTTTGAAATAGATGGAAACTTTTTTTAAGGTAATTGGTCATGATGTAGAGAATTTATGCATCAAATATTGATCTAATAAAAATCCTTTAGTTTTCGAGATAAAATTGATTGAAAATCTGTTAAAATTTGCGTGTGCGCTACTGATTCCAAAAATGTTAAAGGTAAATTTGATCACTATACTAATTTAAAGTAGGTAAAATTGTTGCTTGTTAACATGACAATACATTCATTAGCCCATCATTTTTTGACATTTTTGCAATTTTCTGGAAGAACAAAATGAATTTTTCTAATTCTGAAATGACTGACATGGTTCTGATGTATGGACAAGCCTTAGGAAACCTTGGAAGCTCGACGTTTATACCAAGAAGCATTTCCCGAACGAAGATTGCCAAATCATAAAACATTTGCTAACGTTGTTCAGCGTCTACGAGAAAATGGGAAATTTCAACCTCGTTTTAGTGATCGTGGTCGTGAAAGGACAGAACGGACACTTGATGCCGAAGAAGAAATTTTGAATGTCGTTGAAAACGATCCAGGTATAAGCATTAGACGATTGTCTTACCGAGTGGGAGTTTCACCTTTTGTGGTGTGGAGAACTCTACATGAACAAGTCCTACACCCCTATCATGTACAACGAGTTCAGCATTTGAAACCAGAAGATCTGCCACGTAGAGTTCGCATTTGTGAATGGCTATGCCAAAAAAATAGAGAGGACCCTCAACAGAATAACAAATGTAGCTGCTGAAATTAGAGCACATTCCGAAATGATAACCAGAACCCAACAATCATTGATTAGACGTGCGGAAGCGTGTATACGAAATGGTGGTGGACATTTTGAAAACTTGCTCTAGTTGCATACGTTACGTTTTGTTTCATTTTATGGTTGATTAAATTATGATTTTGAAGTTTTAATTGTCAGTTCATTAATTATTGTCATTGTTTATTTGTTGCTAGCAATAAATTAATAGCAACAGTAGTTACACCTCGGCAGTTTTCAGTTACTAGGTTTCACATTTTTTCGTGAAACCATTATTTATCAGTGGAGGAATGAATGTTTGGATAGGGGTTAAATTTTCCTTTCAAAATTTTACTAAAACAACAAACGTTCATTTGACTTCTTGGGTTCCCTACATTCACCAGATTTTTTGTTTCCATGTATTTCAAAAACACCCTGTATATATATATATATATATATAATGGGTTTCTCGAAAACGGCTCTAACGATTTCGATGAAATTTACAGGTTAGGGGTTTTTTGGGTCAAAAAATCGATTGATCATAGTTTTAACTTCTGAAAATTACAGCTTCATACATTTTCAGCAATTTTCAGGCAGTGAATTATATTTGTTGCTAGGCAACTTCAGATGACACTACACGAACACGAGATTGTTTTATAAGAGAAGTTTAGGTGACAGTCTGACAGTACGTTTTTATCTTCAATTGTACATACCGAAACATACTCCACAGTATAGAGGACGTTAAAATTCACCTTCTGAGGTGAGAAAATTTACCGAAAACTAAACAGTGAGCGGATAAAAGGCACACGAAAGTGCGTTGAATTGAGATTATTTTGTCAAGCATTCATTTCAGAGGTTCCACGGTCGGAGTCAATGTGTGATCGTTTTCCGGGATGGGACCGTGTTATTTGAGTTTTTGGGCTCAACGTTTCGCACACTTTCGTAAGTGGCATCTTCGGGAGCAGGGTTGGGATTGAGAAATTAGGAATAACGCAAAAGAGCACGGTAACTCAGTATGTTAACCACACCAGAGGCGAAACTCTTCTGGCAGTAAGAATGTAGTTGTGACCTTTTTCTAGAGTCGAGAGAGAGAACTAGGAAAAAAAAAGAACGACAGAGAGAAAACTTGGGTAACAAATGAGATTGTAATAAATGTCAAACAATAATTCCAGTTTTCTGTTCTTTAATCTCTACATGTCACTTATCAGTGCTTAAAACAAAGACTGCTTATGGAATTTCTTTTTTAATGTGTATTTTTAATTAGCGCGTCTACTTCAAAATGCATACTATAGGTACGCATATTTATCTGTCCTAATCTGATCTAATACTACCAAACGAGCCGAGTGAAGCTCGGTCAACCAGATATTTATTAATTAAACTGCAGTGCATAAATTTAAGTTTCTTGAACAAACTACAAAATTTGTGATAATGTTTCTATATCAAAACGATTTGATGGAAGCAAAATACACATACCAGTTTAAATAGATAGATATTAATAACAATAGCATTCTGTTACTGCAATTTTTAAGAAACCGTTTATAAGCAAAAAAAAATTAAGTGTATGAAGAAACTAAATAGGTAGGTACGTCATGTAGATACCTACCCACAGAACCATCCTTTTCTGAACATTTCAAACGGGATTTAATTTGCAAAAGGGTGAACGGAGGATTTTGATCAGCGATTAATTTACTATGTTTAGGTATGGTAACAAATTAAAAGCGTATGCAAAATTTCAGAGCAATCGCTTTTTTGCAGCTTCTAAATTAAACTATAAAATTTTGTTGTATTATTTTGAACTTTTTTTCCTAAAACCTTTTCGATTTATTTCGTAAAATTTTTGGTGAAGATGCGCAGAAAAATGCATGGGATTTAGCACCTACATCACGATATTCTTAATTTTCGCAAAAATTTTAGTTTCAAAAATTAGATGTGTACCTACTAAAATTGACACAACTATTCAAAACACCTCCATCATCTTCTAAATAAAAATTCACCCCCTTAAATATTTAATGTTAAAAAAGTAGCTTGATTTAAATGTCGGCATTCTTTTATGATCTAGTTTCTCAAATTTTTCACGACTGCAAAACGAATAAAATACAGCATTTCTTTCAAATAAGATCATAAAAAGAAACAGTAGGTATAATAAGACTCTGAGATCTTATTGGTCCCCGAATATCCATTATGCGTACTACAAAATCTAATTTGTACATTCGGTGGCCTCCAAAACCTAAGGATCTTATCCCAGGTAACTTCTTTTTGTATACAGTGTATAAAGGATCTACTAGTATCTCGTTATACGTAAATAACAGAGGTTTTTCTTAAACCCGTTACATTAAAAATTAAAATTTTTTGCTACATGTTTAAGCAAATCTATTTTTTTATATCACAAAGTGATGTTATACAGAAAACACAACGCGCATGCTGTTATAACAAGCAATACTGTGAAACAAAAAATTCGCGTCGATCGGCACTTTACTTATTACATAGATACATAGGTACCTATGTATATTATCTAAGTATACGAAATAAGTTTTGTGTCACAAGCAGAGACTACTCAGTTAACAGACTTTTTTACAAATGCAGTTTAATTATTATTATTGCTATAATACCTATGTATTTTTTTAACAAATAAATTACTAACATGAGTTCCGGATATGTCTTAGGTAATAGGTATCTGTGCTATAAATGATATTCTGGAGTTTTCTAGTATAATACTGTCTTTATGGAATCATATATCTACATAGGAATATTGTTCATATTTCATGGCAATATAGAATTTGATATTTATACAAATTTATTTTACAAATGGAAGGTTTAATTGTCTCAATTTAGCTGGACAATAAAACTACATATAAAAAAATTATGTTGATGTGGAAAATCTATAAAATTTAATCATTATAATAAAATACCAGAACAATCTTTTGTTTTTTTAAGTAACACTGTCATCAGTAGCTTGTTTAAACATTTTTTGAAGAGTTTGTTTTGTCAGTACATTTGCATAAAATTTAGAGAAACTGACACAACAAAATCAATGTAGGTAGGTATAGTATAATCGTATGTAGTTTGAAAACACTCAAAATTATATTGTCACGTAAACTGATGATTATTATTGGATGACAAAATGAAAATTCCCGTACTCATACATATGTTGGTTGGGATTATTTCACCCATTGTCATTATTGAAGACATTTTTCATATGGGATTTACTAAAAAATTTTGTGATCTTGTATCCTGTTCTACATTTTATAACATTAATACTTATTAGATACCTACTGTGTTTAAACAACAATAGTCAACAGATAAAACACTTATTGCCTAGCGCGTAAAATGCTGCGGGCAAGTAGATACCTCTATTCGATTTTTGCACGGCTTACCTTCATTTTCGGAACTGCTGTTTTTATACTCTTTGGCTCTCCATATACGTAGACGTATTATATTGCACCAGAAATGTTTCAACAGTAGATATACGTAACGTATGTAGATAAATAAAACTCATACAATTTCCATTATATATACTAATAAACGCACCACTCGCACGTTATTTACTTATACTGGAGTTTGAAAGCACAAAAAACATCAGATTCTGCAAAAATTATGTACAAATGCGACAACATACTGCTGGATCTTTGCACCACGAAAGTAACCAAGAGACTGCCCAACAGTCGGCCCAGAAGTTCCCGTCAGAAATCCGATGCTTCGAGGAGCGTTCTTATTGGTTGACGGTAGAAATCGCCGGAGTTAGTTTGTGCTAAAATCGGGCGGGCGCTCCGAGTAAGACACGCCTAGCCATGAAATATTCAATATGATCGTTTGCTGTTACTTTTTGTTCATTGTGGTGAGAGAAAAGGTAACGTAATGCCATTGTGAAATCTGACAGCGAACACAAGACTCCTGACTGGTAGTGTAAAATATAAAAAAAAGAAAAATGTTAAGTAGATAACCGTGACTTTTCTAATATTTAAGTATAGATATGGATGTGAACAAGGAGTGGCTTCATCTCAACCTGATCTGTCAAAAATTGTTGAATTCATCACCAGTGTAAGAAATAAATTTCTCAAAAAATTTATTAAGTATTTCTGGATTGTTGCGCGATTTCGCAGAAAAAACTTTGCTTTTTAAATGGAAATTTTAGAGTAGATGGTAGAGGTTTATAAATTCCTCGAAACTCAGAAGCATCTGTTACCATGTAAATCCACTACTGATAGACGAAAAAAATAAGTATTCTGAGCATAATTCTACATGAAAAGTTAATCATTGTTATCTACCTAATTTACGAAAGACACACGCAGTTTTTTTTTTTCCAAAATTTCATTAGTAGGAGGTGCTTATGGATACAATTGCCAAAAAAATCACCTTTTCAAAAAGTTTACACCATAGCATAGGTATTCCATTTAAACACAAAATATTTTATTTTATCTCGCTTTCAAATTTCTCCCTATAATATCTGTGTAAATTAGTAGATACGTATGTACTTTTAAAATACGTTTTTGTGTCTCTGATCAGAAACAGCAATTTTCTAAGTTTCTCTAGCAGTCGAAAATTGATATTTCCTGCTCTATACCGATAGCGTGTAAAAACGACACCAAAATTTCACAGGTCTCTCTCTACATTCAAAGGAATGGTCACACTAAATAAGTGTATAAAACTCTGGTTTGTTACTGTCACTCTGTTATGTTAAGGAATATAAAATTATTCAATTTTTAATAAATTATACAACTATTTAGGTATACGTCGGCACAAAAAAACTGTACCTACGTTATTCTGCCAGAACATGCTTTTGCGACCTACTCCCTTTTTCAAACTCGCTCCTATTTGTAAAAGCTTAGTTTCTGACATAGGGGGTAATTTCAAGTTGGATTTGGTGCTATGGTAATTTCGATGACAGTTGTTGCGATTCGCGATATGATTCGTCCTCGCGACTACTTCCATGGCAACGAGGACTTGCGAAATTGTAAATCCAACTTGAAATTGGCCCGTTGGTGATGCAACTTACTGTTACTTACAGTCTATACCCGAGGTAGGTAACTATCTTGCGCCCTACCTTTTAAAAGTCAATAACCCTGTCAACTTCTGAATGACTGTCATTAGACAAATGAAATTTAGCTGACATAAATTGCAAATAAAATTTTAGATTTATGTTTACATCGTTTATAAATTTCCAAAGGGATCTCCATTTACGTCTTCAGCGCTAACACATGCCCAGCTTAGTTTTTTTAAGTAGAATACCCTATATATTTTCATATGTTTTGATTGACTTCTTCTTAGGCTTTATAACCATATTTTTAATAGGTTGTTATAATTCTCCTGAAATTTTCACTTCCCGCGAGCGTATAACCTAAAAGGGAATGTTGTATTATATTAGGATCCATCCTGATTACTTTCATGTTTTCTCAGTGTGTCATGACCCATGATGTACGAAAAAAGTGGTCTCGCGTTTCTGTCTGTCTGTCGCCTATGTCGATTTTTATTAGACAGATACCTAATCCCCGAAGCCGCTGAACCGATTGTTGTCAAATTTTATATGTATACCTACGTAGCAGTGGCGGCTCGTCAGGGGGGGCCAGTTAGGCCAGGCCGAGTCTGTCACCGAACTTGTCAATTTGCGATATTCATTTTTATTTTAAACGCAAGAATATAATTTAAAGCTATTTTGAAATCACCTGATTTTACTGTTGTTATTATTTTTTTAATTACAAAAAGCGTTATCTAATTTATTCACTTTCGTTCGGAAGCACAAATCGTGCCGGGAAGTTTGAATATTTTTACTGCGAGGAGGTGAGGCCGGCCGACTACAAGAACAAACGTCGAATAATGTCATATCTGCTATCGCTCTCTGTTTAGCAGAATTAAAGAGAAATAGCTATAAAGACTGATACGTGTCTGATACACTCTGATTAACGCGCCTGCAGCAGTGATTGGTCAATTGTCTGCTAAAATCGGCCGGCCTTTTGGCAGTACATCAAGTTGTTATAGCGCTATCACCTTCTGTTTGTATAAGTTAGAATGCAATAGTGACGAAACCGTACAAAATTCCGTTTCATCACTGCACTTCTGCCGTGCACTTTTCCATGCGGTTCCCCACTACCAGCACCGGCTGGCCGCTATCGGTATATTGTGAATTTCTGCAGTCTTCACGTGGATGAAATTGGTTTAGGTTTGTTTCTAATTTCAGTAACAATGACAACAGTTAGTAAGAGAATTAGTAACTGATTTAAATTTTGATGCTGTTACACATCTATTAAATAATGACTTTCGACTTTTAACATACGATGATCAATTCCTGGGATATAAAAGAAATGCCCCGTTCGGAGCAGCGCATGCAACATTTAATCGAAGCACGGTGCAATAATAACGTCAGCTCCGGTGCAATAGCATATTAATAATTAATAATTAATACAGCATGGTATGAAAATTATGAATGGCTGACGGGGAGCAAGTCAAAAAACAAACTATTTTGTTGGTATTGTTTAATTTTTGAATATCATGTTGACAATAAATTCAAAAAAACTTCAGAAAAAGAGTTTTGCCTCTGGTCGTCTGGTACGATTGGCATATTGAGTTACCGTGCTCTTTTGCCATCTTCCTAATTTCTCAACCCTGCTCCTGATGATGCTACTTACGAAAATGTAGAAGCCTCCGAAATTATTTCTGTCTTTAATTTTAATCATATGGTATATGATTAAAATTAACACACATACATCAGCATATGTTGAACGCAGTTTTTCAGCTTTAAAGCGAAATACAAATTTTACTAGAAACTCCATTAGTCAAAATTGATTATCCAAATTATTCGTTTTAGCAATAGAAAAAGAAGTGCTTACAAACTTAACGGAAGATCAAAAGTTCTATAATCAAGTAATTGACCACTTTGCCAATACAAAACAAAGACGCATTGAATTGGTTTATAAAAATTTCTAATTTACTTTTTTAATTTTGTTTTTTACTAATAAATAGTTGTTGACGTTTAATGTTATATTTTTTGTTAGAATGTGTTACTTTATAACTTGAATGTTATTTTTATTAAGACCCACCACTGACCCGGAAATGACCGGCATTCAGGCAAGACTTCTATCATTACGGGTACTAAGACCAAGTAATGATATGAATTGATTAGATTAACAGAACAACTTTCGAGATTCTAGAATTACAGCATACAAATTAGTCTGCTATTATTCTCTAATCTCACCCCATCCCCAAAAGTCCAGCGTAACTACCGACCATTTATCCGCGCATCACATGAAAAGTGACCTACACTACTCTGACCTACTGGTGCTAATCTAATCTGACTGACATGATCAGACTGTTCAAGAAACTTACGAACAATATGACATGTTCCTAACAAAACAGCTTTTTGAATTTTGACAATTATTGAATCATTCAAATGCAAAGACTTTAAATTCTCAACTAAGCTATTTGGAACTACACCTACATTAGAGATAACTAGGGGTAGAATTGAAATTTTTTTAAGATTCAACATGGATTTCATTTCTATCGATAATTGTAGATATTTTGAAATCTTGGTGTCGTATGTTTGAATAATATTGTTTGTGTTAGGAATAGCAATGTCAATAAGAATGGCTTCGTTCGTGTGTTTTTTGATAAGTATGATGTCTGGTCTGTTAGCTGTAATGTTTAAGTCTGTAAGTATTGTGCGATCCCAGTATAATTTGTATTTGTTATTTTCAAGGAATGGAGACGGAATATAAGTGTAATAGGGTGTCGTATCTTCGATTAAGTTCATAAGTGTTGCTAATTCTTTGTGAATGATTTGAGTTTATTGACGTTATTTTATTATTATAGATGGCTTATATTGTATAAGTATATGCTTTACTTTATACCTATTTGAAGAATATTTTTTATTTTGTTTTACCAAGTTGTTAGGACTATATGAATTAACACCATACAGGTAGCAAATTATAGATAATGATTAACTTGAGGTCCCTGGTTCTTGTATTCTATGTCTTAAAACTTTGGGTTACTCACTGCTGGCCGACCCAACCAAAATAGTCACGAGCCGCCACTGCTACGTAGGTATAGGTATGTCATTCGGGTATGAAAATTCACCTTTCATCAGTGGCGTATATTACAGGCGCTTTGAATAGAGGTATGTATGTACCATCATCAGAGTTAAAACATCAAATACAAATCAAATTTGAACATTAGAGCTAGTGTGCCGTTCTAGTAGGTATATTTTTTTCAACTTTGCTAAGTTTCTCCTCAGCGCCTTTGTGTTTTTAGACCCGATTTATAGAATCATTTATACATTTAATAACGCCATTAATTTAATTAACACAAATGACAGCTGTCTGGTGTATACGCGGCAGAGTAACGTCCATCCTTTAAATTTAAAAGTGAACTGTCTAATCGTTCCTATACCAACAATGAGATGACCTCATCTCCGAAATTTATAAGAGTCTAAATATTATTTAAATTTTATAGAATATGATACTCCTGTACTTGTAGTTTATGAATTCGTGTTGAGTTTTCTGTAGACATCCAGATTTTTGGAAAAAAAATCAAAATTTTATAGCAATGTTTTGCAACTTTGAAACTGTAAAATCGAATACTCTCAAATCTTGCGTTGTAAGGTCATAAGCATTGCAACTCGTTAATCACAATTTATCCGTTTATC